GTATGTATGTATGTATGTATGTATGTATGTATGTATGTATGTATGTAGTATATATCATATATGTATTTGCAATTAAGGACCCATAGCTCTGAGCCTGATACTAAGTTACTTAGTGGTCAGATAGATAATCTTGTGCTCTCTCAATAATCCATAAAAGTGCTGCCTAGAGCTGTAGGAGATCTAGGTTCAGAAAGAAAAGCACTACACACTGAATACATGTATGCTGGCTCTTTGATTCCAGTAGTCACTGTGGAGAATAGCCACATGCCCTCCACAGTTGACTTTAAGTCAACTGTTTAGCAATCCCATGCTGCCATCATTTCATACACATCTAAGGACACTTGTCTGGCTTCTGTCTATATTGAGCCCACGTCTAGGTTAGAGGATGAGCAGAGAGATGAGAGATGACCTTTGACTAAAATATTCTCATGGTTGGAAATATGTCAGAGTTCATCCTTCTGTGCTCCAGCTGTTGTGTGGCTTAGACACTTTTTCTCAGGACTGTATGACCTTCCCTTACTGTTTATCCCACCTTTACCAGTTCTCTCCATGCCACTTCTGCTGTAGCTGGCCTCCAAGCTCCCTCTGGCTTCTTCCCTTACCTCACCCTACACCCCACTCCCCCTTCTTCTGTGAGTCACTGTGTCCCTCTTTGTGGATGTTTCTCCTTCACTGGAAATATTATTCCCCATACCACCAACCACCAACTCACTTTCTCTGTGGACAAGAGCATGCTCATGTACTTAATGTTTTTTTTTTTGTGTACGCTTGATGATGGCCCTAGGACAAAGGGCAATCACCAAAGCTCTGATGAGATGGGCTTTGCTAACTTTTCCGGAAGTGACTCTCAGATTTCTCAGGGTGGGAGTGCTCCACAATCCTCCCCTTGTCCCAGAAGTGCCTGAGTCAGCTGTACTCTAGAGAAAGCCTCTAATCTCTACCCTGGGCAGATGTGAGCCATGTTTTTGGCTCTAGCCAGATATGTTGGTTTGATAGTTCTTTGCCTATCTAGACACATTGACAAGCTGGCCTAAAACACTTTCCAAAGGCTTAAGAGATTATTTTCTAAGTTCTTCTATGATCTTTGTGGCTATGTCTCTTAGAATTGATTTCCTGTTTAAATTGTTGATTAAATTGGAGGCACCATATTTTTTTTCTTTATTCTGTACTACACATGTATGCCTTTCCATTTAGTCAGGAATAAGCAGGGTCACGGGAGCCTGCTGACGTCCAGGGGTCATTTTCTCAACACCAGGAAATAGTTTGAACCTTAAGAGAATCACTTTCAACGGCTGCTGGAGTTCTCCCCAAGACCCACTCCCCTTGGGTTGCTAGCCTCTGCCTGGAGGATAAAGCACCACTTTCTTTGGTTGTGACAGTAAGATGCCAGTTAACATGGGTTCCTGTCTAAGATAATTAGGGTCAGTTACGGCTTCTGATATGCTGTGTGCAGTAGAGGCTGCCGGAAAGGGGTTTGTAGTAGAGCAGCAGAATTGTGTAACCATGAAGCAGAGTTAAGATAACATAATGGTGGCTCATCTGAAACTAGAAGGCTCACTGTAGCTTCAGATGTTAATGTGGAGGTAATATGCTATGGGAGCTGCCTAGATTACAATGAGGTGCAGGAAACACATCAAATCATGGAAATTCATTCTGCAGAAGCTGCTCTTACCAGCTCATATACAGCCTCCCCACTGCCCCAGGACTACTGGCACTCAGCCAGACAAAGACTGTGGACCCCACATCCACAAGCTCCTGTCACTGGTTCCTTACCCCAGTCACCCTTGGTATCTGGAAGTTCATCCCTGGCTTTGCTAGTGATTCTTGATGAATACAGCCTAGCCTATCTCTGATTCAACGTAAAAATCAAATTTCATCATGCATCAGTTTGTCTGAATCTGAGCATCTCCACTCATGTGGGAATTATAACATGGTTAGAGACTAATGGAAGTCAGGGAGTCTCACCTCTTTGTCACATTTTTGTAGTGGCTCTGGGGTCAATGTCTTCAGAGAAGGTATGGCACTATCTACACAGATCCTGTATCTTCCAGTGAGGGATGCAGTAATGAAAGGGCATATACTGTATCTGGGGAAGTGTATCACAGGCTCAATGTGGTAGACATGGGGAGTCTTTGGAACTACACTAGCAAAAAGTCTGTCACTGGATTTTTGCTTCTGACTGATAAAAGGATGTATCTTTGTAAATGGCAACTGGCAGGTATTTTACCATTTGTTATATATATATATATATATATATATATATATATATATATATATATTTAAACAGTGAGAAAATAATATTACCTCCACATATCAATTTTTTTCTAAGTGTGAAACCTGAGTATCTATCTATCTATCTATCTATCTATCTATCTATCTATGCTCCAGATATGTATTGCTGACCTTCCTGAAACTCACTCTATTGACTATGCTGTGCTCCAATTCAAAGGTCCAACTCCCTCTCCCTTCTTTTTTTTTTTTTTCTTTATACATATTTTTTTTTATTTTATTTTTCTTTTTAGTTACATTTTGTTAACTCTGTGTCCCAGCTGTATCCCGCTCCCTCATTCCCTCCCCAACCCCACACTCCCTCCCTGGTCTCCTCCCTGCCCCTTTCTAAGTCCCCTGATAGGGGAGGACCTCCTCCCCTTTCATCTGACCCTGTTTTATCAGGTATCTTCAGGGCTGGCTGCAAAGTCCTCCTCTGTGGCCTAACAGACTGCTCCTCCCCTGGGGGGGGGGGTGTCAAACAGCCTGCCCTTGAGATCCTGTTAGAAATAGTCCGTGTTCCCCTTACTTTGGAAAACTACTTGGTTACTGAGCTATCACAGGCCACATCCGAGCAGAAGTTCTAGGTTATATCCATAGATGGTCCTTGGTTGAGTGTCAGTCTCAGAAAAGACCCTGTGCCCAGATATATTTGGTCCTTGTAGAGCTCCTATCCTTTCCATATCATACTAACTTCCCTTCTTTCATATGATTCCCTGCACTCTGCCGAGGGTTTGGTTATGAGTCTTAGTGTCTGCTTTGAAACACTGCTAGGTGGAGTCTTTCAGATGCCTTTTGTGGTAGACTCCTGTCATAAGTTCAATGCACATCCCATTTGTCTTTCTAAATGAGGATTAATCACCTTCGCCTGTGTCCACTTTCTACAGATTGGGAAAGAATCTTCACCAACCCTTTATCTGACAGAGGGCTAATATCAAGTATATATAAAGAACTAAAGAAGCAGAAAAGCAACAAACCAAGTAATCCACTTAAAAAATGGGGAACAGAGCTAAACAGAGAATTCTCGAAAGAGGAACATCGAATGGCAGAGAAACACTTAAAGAAATGCTCAACCTCATTAGCCATTAGGGAAATGCAAATCAAAACGACCCTGAGATATCACCTTACACCCATCAGAATGGCCAAGATGAAAAACTCAAGTGATAGCACATGCTGGAGAGGTTGTGGAGAAAAGGGAACCCTCCTCCATTGCTGGTGGGAATGTAAACTGGTTCAACCACTCTGGAAGTCAATCTGGCGCTTTCTCAGACAACTAGGAGTAGTGCTACCTCAAGACCCAGCTATACCACTCCTAGGTATATACCCAAAATTTGCTCAAGTACACAACAAGGACATTTGTTCAACCATGTTCGTAGCAGCTTTATTTGTAATAGCCAGAACTTGGAAACATCCCTCTCCCTTCTGACTGTTGGGATTAAAGGTGTGTGCCACCATGGCAGTACAACCTTTTTCAATTATATATTTTTCTTTTATTTTATTTTATATATTTTTATTTTATATTTTTATTTTATTTTATATTTTTCTTTTATTTTATAATTTTCTTTTATTTTACTACTAGTGTGTGCGTGTGCACGAGTGTGTGTGTCTGTTTGTTTCTTTTTGTCCATCTTTCTTTTTTTTTTTTTTTTTTTAAAACTGTGTAGCACAGGCTGGCCTCGAACTTGTGATCCTCCTGCCTCTGCCTCCTTCAGCAAATCCTACCGGTGTGCGCCACCACAACTGGCTTTGTCCATCTTTCAACATGAGCCTGAGAATGTCAAAAGAAGGAGTCTGATCCTCTAGAACTGCTGCTACATGTGCTTCTGATCCACTTCTGATTCACTGCTAGAACACAAACTCACACCTCTGCAAGAACATTAAGTACTCTCAACTACAGACCCATCCCTTTAGCCTGGAAGTATAGATTTTAAAGTGATTTTTGCCAAAATTCCCAACTAATACAGAATATTTCATTGGGAAGAAATTAAATCATCAAGATATTATATAAATATTATAGGCGATAAAGTTAAAACTGATAACATGACCTGATGAAAGGTTAGAGTTAATTCCTGAGGCTGAGGCAGAATCACAAGACCACATTCCTTTCAGAGCAGAGGGCTAGTCCAGAGGGTAGGGCAGAGTCCCACATTCCTTTCAGATAATGGGCCAGCAGCAGTCCCCACCCAGATAAGCCTCAGAGTATGACTATAGTCACAAGGCCCCTAAAAACTAGAGGTCAGGTGTCTCCCAGGTAGCTAGGTCCGACCATTAGCAGTCTTGGCGCCTAAAAATAGACCAATCATTTTAAAGATCATCTTCCCTAGAGACTGCCGGGAGCCAAAGCTATCTACTGAAGCCTAAGTCAATTAGTGAGTCAAAGATATCTAGTGGAGACAAAAGGTATTTACTAGGCCAAAGTCAAATAGTGAGCAAAGGTCATTTAGTGGAGACCTAAAGCTATTTAGTGAAAGTTATCTAGGACCCTAACTCATGGGTGCTAGACTGTGTGGACATCCGTTTGTTAGAGCAAACATCTCTATGGTATCTTGCAGGTACCCTATTTAACACATGAAAGCACTCTTCCTGTCTCCTGCAGCAGCTAATTACCTTCCCCGTTTTCCTGCCTTCTCCCTATGTAAGTTGGGTAAAAATTTCTAATAAATGAAGCCTTGATCAGACAAACAGACTTGGCTTCCTTCCTTGTGCTTCTCATCCCCTCCCATTCCTTCCACTCTCCTCCCTCAGGAACCCACGTTGAAGCCCCACTGGTCGGGGCATAAGAGACCACCCCGCTTACGTTTTGTTCTTAGCCAATCCTGTAATGCCAAGGCTTGTACTACCCCACTGGCGTTTTCGTTCCTTTAAAACCCTTGATCTCGATCTCCCGGGGGTCGCTTGCCCAAATGTCTTTGTAAAGAGCAGCCCCCAGGGCTTGAGCTTGTAATAAAAAGGCCCTCATGTGTTTTGCAACGGAGTCGATCCTGTAGATCGTTTGGGGGCTTGCTAACTGGGTGTAACACTAAACAATCATTAGGCCTGAGTAAGTGGCTCTGTTAGACTTTTCCATAAGTATGCCTGGGTCCCTCATATGCTGTTGAAAGGAATTCCCTCTTGTTTAGCCTACAATATGGTATCTCCTCCTCCTGAATTAAACAACCCCATTAAGGAAGAGCTGGAGACAACAGAAGAGCTAGAAATGAACGCTGCATCAAGGATCAGCACTTCTCATATGAATGAGCAACTTCTTACTTAGTGTTCTATGTAACAGACACAAACATACATATGCACACATACACACATACTGAAAGCCTAGCCATGCTCAGAAATGCTAAGTCCTTAAGGTTGGTGATAATGCCCTTCACTGCAGTGTTCAGGAGGACAGACCAGTCATAATGTCATTCTTAACAGACTTGCCCATCAAGGGTCCAGGTTGCTACAGTTCTCGTTGACTCTAGTTTGTCTAAGTTGAGGAGGCTGTCCTGTGTCACTGAACACACCGCCTGCAATAGAAACAGCTTCCTTGTGAAGCAGTGTGCATCGTGGCAGCATGAAATCTTCCTTGTGGTGGGGTTTGTGTCTTTGTCTCAAGCAGGAGCTGCACAGGAATGAACATTCCTAAGAAGATGTGGGCATTCTCAGTACTCCACGGCTCCAATGCAGCTTCCTTACTACAATGAGCTCATTTGACCGTCCTGTGAACATGTTTCTGACACCTTCGTATTCAAGGAGGAATCAACTATCTCAGCGTTCTGCTTAGGAGAAGTGAGGGAAGTTCAAGGCAGATACTGTAGATGTTCAAATAGTGTCAAATATGAACACTGACAGGCTCAGCAGAGAGACAGGAATTCAATAGGAACATGAAACCTAAAGCAGCTGGAAATATCCTGTACTGCACAGTGGGCCAAGAGTCAGTACACTCACCAATGTGATCCCAGGGGCTCTGCCCCTCCTCTTCAGAGATTTGCACAGTTAAAAAAAACATGTGCTCAAAGAACACCTGGTGGTGATGAGCCTTGATTTCAGATTCTTCTGTCTTAAGCTACTGAGGCAAGGATGATAGGCCGGGTCACTTAGGGCAGTTTCAATTAGCATCTTAACGAGATAATGTTCAGGCCCACCTTAGCGTGCTCCTTCCTTATTTTAAGTGAAGCAGATCAGTCTGGATTCTTCACGCGGTAGTAAGATTCTGTAAGTAGATCAGAGCTTTAAAATCGCAATGTTTTAGCGGAAATAACTAGGAAACGTGATAAACATAATTGTGAAAGGCTCCACTCACAGGCTAAGATCTGGTGCTGCGACCACAGGACTTTAAAACAGCCTGAATCGCCTGTGACCATCCCAGTGCTGAAGCCTGTTTCCTTCCAACTTCATCTGCAACACCTACAGAGTTGGGCGGGAAACAAGGAAATCCTTCGCACTGATTTGTGGGAAATGTAGTCCCACCACTATGACATCACAGGAAAGGGCTGTGAGTGTCAAAGTTCCGCATTCCTTATTCAAATTTCGTTTCCCGCCAAAGTTTGGGGAGTGTCCTCCTCAGCGTTGGGCTTGAATCTCCGTTGTGGAGGTTGCTGGGGGTTGCAGCAGCTTCCTGCAGATCTGAGCGACTGTGTACGGTGGCGGAGGGAGCTGACATGGACTGTTTGGGAGACCCGGAAGCTGATATGGAGGTGCTGTGCTGACCTAGGCTGGGCCACTGCTCCTGGGTGCAGGTTTGACCGGGAGAAGGTTAGAAACAATGAGATTTCAAGGGCAGGCTGGGTCTACTGACTGCCTGTGCCTGAGGAGCCGAAGGAAGCTCACTCAACCTACCTGACCCAGGCTCACATGGCTGTAGTCAGATTTCTCAGGACTCCTAGAACACGTGAACATCTGGTCTCTCCTGTACTTATGTCCGGCCTTGTACTCCTGGTTTGAGTTCACAGAGCTTCCTAAAGGTCCTAGTTTCCAAGGACAGAGTCCTGTGAGAGCGATTGTTGTATGGGATGTAGTGCCTTTTCCTTTGGAATGAATTGTTGCCCGGCGTTGGACAGGAATCCCTAATGTACACCCCTGTGACCTGAGTCACCACAATACACTGTTTATAGTCGCAGAATAATCTTGGAATGAGCCTATCATTGCACAGTCCACATAATTATGGATTTTTACAGTTGAGTAAAAACTACTGTACAGTGATACCTCATCAATTCTACCTGAGACTGTGTACTGTCTACAATTTGGACTCCTTTTCAGATGTGAGAGATAACTTGGTGTACTGAGAGAAATGGAGCTCATGAACGCTGGGAGGGGCTGGTGTGTCTGAAAGGGAGGGGAGAAATGGCCCTGTTGTTCTGGCCGGCTCTTTACTTTGTTCTTTTGTACTTGCCTTTTTTCTGTCTGTTCACATTATCAGCTGTTTCTCAACTCCCTTAAATGTACTGTCACTGAATGTGGCACCCAGGTTCACTGTCGGTCCCTGAATAGTTCTAGAAGATTTGCCCAAGTTTTTGTGCTGTGTTACAGAGAATATAAGATGAATTTGGAAAGTTGAGGCACACTCAGGGTCTTGTGATTTGCACATAGTAGGTTCCTGATGATGAAAAACCCACAGGTGTTAACAGGTTTAAGAGATAATTTAGCCTGGAGCCATTTGAGTGGCCATGATCTGGGAACACAAGATTTGAGGTTACCCCAAATTCCATCCTTCAACATGGAAGTAGTTTCATGGTTTTACAGAACAAAGGATGTCATTAATCAAGGGAAGTTTGAAATACATTGTGAAGGCCCCAGAGAGGCAGGTATTATTATGAGATGGGGGTGTAGGGCAGGGGGAGCTATTCTAGTCACCTGAGATACTATGATGAAATTCTTAGTTTTGGACTGATAGTTCTACCAAGTCAATGGATTCTGGGAGGTTTTTAATCTATTGTCACAAGTTGTTTGGTCCACTCCAGAGTGAGGCAAGGACTGTTTCTGAAGGGTGAAACCAGCCCAAGCTAAGGCAACGACCCCCTGATCCTGCAACATTCCAGTCTCTGCACAGCCCTGAACGTCCACATGGGCCATCAGTCTCTGCAGACACTGCCTCTTCCCAAGAGTTCTTATTCACAGCCAGGCACAGTTATTTTCAGGATTTTCCCTCCACACCCACGTTCCCTGTCTCGGGTGACCTCGCATATATTGTCACTCTTCAGTCAAACCAAGTGTTTTGAGCTGGAGACTGGCTTATGACATTGAAGTCTATACTTAGGAAGCATGGACTTAAGACCACCTTGTCCTGTCTACTGGCATTCTCAGTGAGTTTCCAACCATATATAAAATAGTAGATAGTCCCTAGTTAATGTTGCTACTGTGTAGGAAAAATAATAAATGTATATGAACTGGGAAAAGCTCACTGGCTTGACAGCAGAGCAGCATAGAGATGATACAGCAGCATGCTCATATATAACTAATAGGGAGCAAATATATATATATTGAATTAAACAGCCGTATGATTGAAAAGTAAACTTAAGCCTATTCGATGATTCATCTCTCCTGAATCTGCATTTTGAGGAGTTGTCATGAATCCTGGAGTTCAAAGTCATCCTCTGATTTATAGGCGTTCAAGGTGAGCCTAGGCTAAATGAGATGCTATGTTTTAAAAAGATTCTTAAAAATATATTTTATTCAATGTAGTAGTTACTTCTGGTTCCTCTCACTTCTGAGCACCGGCGACCTGACAGAAATCCATGCAATTGACATCTTACTAATTTTCAAAACTTACACATGTGCTTAGAGAAGTTCTATTGACTGTGTTTGAAATCTAATTTCCAGTTTTTCACTAGCATCCTTTTGTTAATGACATTGTGTTGATTAGGAACTTGTTTGCATTTACTGTGTGGAGAAAGATTCTCCTGTTTGCGTTGCTTGACTATTCCTCTTTACTTACAGGGAATGTTATTTTATCTTTGTATATTCTTCTCTGTTATTTTCTGTTGTAAATTTGTTTAATGTTTACTGTTGATTATGTTTTAGTAACGCTCCTGTTAATCCTAAACAGCTGTATAACCACATCACCACACAGAGACTGGGATTTATTTAATTAACCTAGATCACAATGCTGGGCAATAGTTATTCCATCCTAAACCTCCAAGCCCATGTAGTTTCCTACTACTCAGATTTTACTATTTATACTTGCTTTTAGTGATTTCTTAGCTCCACTCCATCTCTCTACCTGGTTCCAAGACCTCTCCTCCAGCCTCTGCTCTCCCATCTTCTGCTCTCTCTCCTCCTCTGCCTCCCACTCCTTCCTGTCCTCTGGCTCCGCCCCTCTCCCACCTACTACATTGCTCAACATTGTGGCTGGTTGTTTTATTTTGGCATGTTTACACAAAGCTGAGACAGGTGATGCTTAGAATAAGTATCACAATGCAATGTCGGGATTGAAACCGGAGAGTAGGGGAGAGAAATCAGCATTTGAATGAACAAAGGTAAGGTGTATACATTTCAAAAGAACATTATACCAACAATTTTCTGTCATGATCTCATGGTATCTTCTTCAGATTTTACCTGATTTTTTCCGAAACAGAATCCTGGCTCTACAAATGGAAAATGACAGCCACATCTACCATTGTCCTTCACATGTGATATCACAGCCCTCCAGCCAGAAAACTGTTAAAGTGGTATTCCTTTGTCTCCCTCAGGGAGGAGTTCAGGCTCCTATGTTGTGCAATCCTGCTGTTTTGCAGGCACATTTCATTTCATCCTAATATTAGTGTGAATGGTGATATGAATGAAGAACTTTGATTTTAAGAGACTCAGAAAGTAGTAACTTTGTTATATTTGACAAGTCTTTGGAAAACTCTGAGGTGTTAGGTAATGTCATTCAATACCTGGGCATGGCTGTGTATATTTCAGAGGACATGCAGAGGAGACACAAGTGTTATTTGCATTGATTATTTTCAAAATTATTTATTTATTTATTTATTTATTCATTCATTCATTCACTTTACATCGTGATCATAGGCCCCTCCCTCCCTCTTCCTCCATTCCAACTTCTCTATTTCTCAGAAAAGGAGACCGCCCCCTCCGAAGCAAATCTACCCCAGCTCATCAAGTCACATCAGGTCTTGAGCATATCCTCTTCTTCTGTGTGGTCTGGTGAGGCAGCTTCACTAGGGGGAAGTGATCAAAAAGCAAGCAACAAAGTCTATGTCAGGAACAGCCGCTCGGACTGATTTGCATGACCTTCAAAGGGAGAAAGTGATAAACCTTAGAAGCATAGATGGGTTGGCATCGTTTTCTACTTTTGAGTTAAAATATTTCTCTCGGTGAGTACAAGGACACTTTTCAAATCCATATTTATGTTCTTCCACCTCCCTGATTATTGCCCCACAGTTCTTTCCAGTTTCCCCATGAGGTCATATGTACTCTCTATGCTGTCTCTGTTGCTCCCTTACAGCATCCCTGCAGGGACCTTTATGGCCACAGTTAACAAGGCAGGGGAGGCTGGAAGGCAGTTTTGCCCAACACAGCTCAGCAGCAGGTGTTGGTTCAAATGGCGGGAGTCTGACCTCTACTTGTTTGTTTTAGGCAGGTCTTTGCACAACCACAATTAGGTGAAAAGTCTTCTGGTGATAATTAAGTCAATCCTGTATGCACAACAAAGCATCCATAAATCTCCTTGAGGAACAAAGCTAGCTACATACAGATCATACGTGTCCATGTCCAAGAACATACTCTTTGTCAAGTCTATGGAGATATGTTCTATAGACTGAATGGAAAAAACAGGTTTAAGAATGAATGAGCAAAACTAACAACAGATACCAAAATACCAAAAGTTTTAGATTATCCTTAGGGACTATTTTGAAAACCTGTCGTATTCCATAAAAGAAGTCTCTTAGTCATGTTCCTTGTAGACAACAGAAAAAATGGATTTTGTTTCTTGATCCCTTCTCCCAGCCTGTGTCTTTAGAATAGTGTTAATTGTCACTGTGTTGCTGATTTTTGGTGTTATTTGTGTTCTTAGTGGCCCCTTGTGTTTTAATAATTTTGTCTTCTTATTCCTTTCTACAGGCTCTTGGCTGTGCTCAGACCTCTCTTCAGCCTAAAATATTGCTTCCTGTATTTTCTGTAGGGTTGGGCTTTCTGTAGTTGTTCTTTCTTCTTTAAGTACCACAGATAATTGTGCTGAGTGTAGTAGCTTAGGTTGAATGTTCTGGTCTTTTAGGCCTTCGAATGCACTTCTCCAGGCTCTTCCGCCTTTCAGAGGTTCCACTGAGAAATTGGCTCTTTTCTAATAAATGTATTCTTTTGCTTGCAGATTTCAGAATGCCATGAGGATTTTCTTTTCTGATCTTGTCCAGTTAGTGTCCTGTATGCTTCTTATATTTTTTTTAGAGTGATAGCTTTTTTTTAAAGATGTATTTATTTATTATGCATACAATGTTCATTTATTATATATACAATGTTCTGTTTGCATGTGCACTTGTATGCCAGAAGAGGGCACCAGAACTCATTATCAATGGTTGTGAGTCACCATGTGGTTGCTGGGAATTGAACTCAGGACCTCTGGAAGAGTAAACAATGCTCTTAACCAGTGAGCCATCTCTCCAGCCCACTTCTTATATTTTTATGGGTACATCATTCCTTAGTTTAGGGAAGATTTCCTTTATGATATTTTGAAGACCTAGTCTAGGCCATTGCCTTGAGA